GATGAATAAATTGATAGATAAATGAAGGAAGGAAAGATGGTAAGAGTAAAAGAATGAATATACTAATAGATAAGTTGATCTTAGGGATGATTGAGTTAATATATGTCGAGCACCCATTCAACAAATTATTCACTTATCTGCCATCTGCTCATCCTCACCGCCAGTGGCCCAATCAGAGTTAGAGTCACGAAGTTTGCCCGGTTTGCATCAGATCACCTGATATGGTGCGGAAAGGAGGCGGTCGACTGACCGACTTGCCCACGGACTGACAGACCGATAGACCAACTGATCGACAAATAGACCGACATAACGACAGAACCACAGGCCAATAGACCAACTGACCGACAAGCAGACATACAGACAGACTGAGTCACCCTGACGCGCCCGGGTCCACACGCAGCACAAAGGGGCCATTCGGTGGGTCCGACTGCGCCACCCGTCCACTCGTCGCCCGGTCGCCTACACTCCCGGTCCGGGTTCGAGCTCGTCTCGGCGACTCGGCCGCCTCGAAGTGCCTCCCTCCTGTCCAGCGTGTCGCCGGGCCGCTCGAGAGTTCCACGAACTCGGCTTCTCGTCACGCACTCGCTGGGCCCGAGGCACGAAGATGCCCTTTCGCGAGGGGACATTACTTGGTACCGACCCCCTTCCCGGCGAGGCCGCCCTCAGCAGGCCAGGACCCATTTGGAGTAGCGAATTAGGCCAGACGACACCGTCATTTGGCGGAGGCAACCAAAGTCGTGTCCGGATAAAGGCCAAAACGTGGTGTTTTTGCTGCGATGCACATTCTTTCCCCGCCACCTGCTGGCCCGCATCACCCCAGCCGGGAGAAGAAGATGATGAAGAGCAGCCGCCTTGGCAGAGCCCTCGGAGCCAGATTTGCCAAAGAGGAAGACACCATGTAGGCGAATGTCGGACAGTTACTAAGGCGACCACTGCTTTTTAGACTAACTTTATAAAGCTTTCATGCATTTTGGTAAATGTGAGAAACAAAAAGCCGACTTATCAATGAGCCAAGCCAGATTAGCCAGTGCCTCTGCATCCGAATGCACCCAGTCCGGCCAGGTATTCTGGCCATCAATTGGCCGAGGTGGGTAGTCATTGAAACTGTCCCAAACGTGACTCAGTTGTGGATTAAAAACTACATTTGAACTGGTTCAAGAAATGCACGCACAAGACAGACGGACGCAAACACCCAGTACAATAGTGAATGGAAGACCGGACGCCTGATTGACTAAATATTGAATGCTGGACCGAATAACTAGCTGTCGGGAAAATGTATTGAATGAATGCATGGCTGATTGAATGACTGGCTTTACGAACTGGCTAAGTGGGCCACTTGGTAAATGATGGAGTGTACAAATAGCAAACCGACAAATAGATTAATCTACCGATCAAACTATTGACTGACATTTGGAGGGAAAATAACATACATGCATAGAGACAGATAAGCATAAATGAAGAAAAACTGGGTTTAGAAGAATTCCTTAAAGAAATATTGTGGCACGACTCTCCATTTCGAAGGGAATGTTGGTTGGAAGGAATTCGTGATGTGGTCTCATTGGAAACCAAAGGAGGATTGCCGCATAGGGAAGACTGTTGAATTGTTTGAAGAAGTCCTTGGCTCACCGTCCTGCGACCCCGATGAAATTGTGCTAAGCTTTTGTCTGTACCGCTGTAAAGATATCATCAGAGCAGGTATCCACACTTCACTAAATAGAGCAAAAATATTCCAACCCGTGAGAACAAGATCAAGTATATTTTCGCCCTATATCGTAAAGTATGGAATATTGCTCTGATGATGTCTGTCGAAAGTTTAGCACAGTTTCATCGGGGTCGCAAGACGGTGAGCTTGTTCGCACAATTCAACAGTCTTCCCCACGCGACAATCCTCCTTCGGTTTCCGGTAAGACCCCATCACGAATTCTTTGCCACCAACTTTCCCTTCGAAATTAAGGGTCATGCCACAAGATAGATATACAGACAGATGGCTTGAAAGATTGACAGATCGGAAAAACCCTTATTGCCTTTTGCTTATCATGGCCATTTTTGTTGAGCCTAACTTCGGATATGTCAGACCGAATCAAGAAACCGGACTCGCTTTGATTTACCCTGAATCCCTCGCGCAGTGTCAGTCCTCGTCTCCGAGTTTTGAAGCTATAGCGTCTGACCAACAAGCAGAGCTTGGGCAAAAGTCAAGGCAGCGACTCAATGAGGCACCAAACGATGTGACCGACTGATTTTTTTCGTCTGTTTAATTGCCTTTTTTCATACAATATGACGGTGGCAGGAGTCGCGTTGAATCAAAATGTCACAGCATCAGCCATCCATAGCTGAAGTTGCGCTTCAAGGGTGACTGAAAGACCCTGCGCAGTGGTGCGTGCCGGCTGTACAGGTGCAGGTGGGAAGATTGGCTGTATGGTTGTGATTGCAAATCGGACTCCAGTTCTACGCCAAACGTGCATTACTTCATTGCACCCCAACCGATGATAAATGTATTT